GGCTAAGACCAACACCACAGATATAGAAACATCTACCTATTTTAGTATGAGATGATAGAGCAGCCTCTGGGCATTAAACTGATATATTCCATATTCCCATAGCCCGTGTAGTGGTGGAGATATTGTGGTTTAAATAATGGAGGGTTCTATGGGACGATAATACCGTATTAGGTTAGCGTATATTTTCTACAGCAGCGCTAACCCGTTACAGTATTATCGTCCCAAAGTCCCGGTCAGCGCAAGGAGTGGTTAGATGTGGATGAAATCATGCATGCTGGCTCTCTACCAAACATATTCAATGCTATCTAAGTTGCAGGTCAGTGGAATAGAAATTTCGTTGTCAATCAAGGATGCAATTCTCTAGGGTTATTGCTAGGGTTAATGCTAGGGTTATTAGGGTTATTTCTAGGGTTATTAGGGTTATTTCTAGGGTTATTATTAGGGTAGCTAGGTTTCTAACATCTTTTATCTCCTTATCTCTTTTAACTTCTCCAAAGGCTACAGTACCTTAAGCTTAATTAATAAGATGGCTATTGGTCAAGTAGCTTTGGAAGCAGTTATAAGCAAGATTAATTCTAAATTCTATCTACCTCTATCGCAGGAGATCCCCAACGGTGCTCTATATATATATATTTATCCCGATCGTGGATTATGCCGTGTTGGAAACCTTGCCCCCTTTGGATATGTTGGATATATCTGGCGGCCTTAGTATATATCCTCTATATATCCCCCTAACCACCTCGGCCAAAAAACCAAACACTATGATACCGACCGGCATCATAGGCGCCCACACCTATATATATAGTTAAATCCCCGGGGCATGCCGGCGCATGGGCCGTGGCATGACAGAGGTGATGGAACGATGTGAGGGCATAACGATATATATATATGAAGCTGTTGAACATAGGAGTGATTGATATAAGACTATTCACTGGCCCTGTGAAGATATGGGGTCCAGCGAGGTTATATACACTGCGTGGTTGGGTCATAGAATGAACGTTGTTTTGTATTAAAACTAACTAGCCGAGCAACAACTAAATAAGATTGGGGAGCACGTGATCTAGGGTAGCCGTAGTATCCACCTACAATCGGTTCCAGAGACCCCCTTAATCTTGAACCTCTCTGCATGCCTTACTATATAGGCTCCAACACGTGTAGCTATATGAGGATTTGGGCCTCACACTGTTATATTCTACACTGCATAGTGCTAATCTAGATACCTCAAAGATTAAGAACAACTAGGTAGAGGGTGAGGAGAGCTTATCATCAAGTTGTTGATAGATCGAATCGCACAAGGTATAATACTATAGAATGAAATAGTAATAATCGGGTCAGATTTTCTATCACAGAGTATTAAATAAAATGAAGTACAGAACAGTATCATCACCATGGAGGCCAAGAGAATTAATTCTCCAACCGAAAGTGCAACAGGTTCAGCGTTTTAGTTGCTTTATAATGGCTGTGTATGTCTCCACTACCCTCTTCTCCTTGGGACCTAGATGGATCTTTTCGAAATTTGGTGGCAGGATCTTATTTGCTCTGAAAGTATACCATCAGCATCATATTAAGTGAGAAGGAAAGTAGAGAAGAGAAGCAGTTTATCATACATACTTTTCATAGCGCACCTTCATGTTTCGGATCTTGTCCTTCAGATCAACATTACTACGGTCCTGTAGAACTGCACCATCTGAATGTTCCTTATCCATCAGCTGCAGGATCCTCCATTTTGGCCCATACTCGACAAATAGCTGGAGAAGACGTCTCTCCTCCTCCTCAGACCACATGCGTCGGGGCGGCAGTGGGCTACCATCACGGCGAGTGGTGGCTGGCCTCCGCAGCTGGGTTGCCCTGGGGGGAAGAGATGGTGGAGGTGCTGGTGATGAGTGCAGCTGCTCTGAGGATAAGAGCGGGTCAACACTCTGCTGATGAGACGGCAAATCCAATGAATGTGAGGGTTCCGATGATGATGATGATGCTGACTGCATAGAGATATGGTGATCTTTATCCTTGAGGGGTAATGGCTGTTCTGGGGCGTGGTCATCTTCACTATAGAATGACTCGGAGTAGGGCTGGAATAATAATGAAGAAGAACCATCCTCATCATTTAAAGATCCAGTGGGATTGGAGAATGCCGTCTGCTGTCTATGGCCCTGCCTATGGCCCTGCCTATGGCCCTGTCTAGTCCACTGGGGAGTATCCCTATTGACTCTGACTGACTCTGGAGGAGCCCGGCCATGATGCCTCCATGATCTTTTGATCTTTGAAGAGTCATCTTCAATCAAGGAGCTCAAGGGTCGCTCTCGCTTCCGTGATCCAGCATGGTGTTGCATTTCTACAGGGTGGCTTTGACATTCAGATAGCCTCATCGATCCAGGGTGTTTATTTTGATAACTTAGAGCCATAGGTTGAGTCTGCCTGTGTGATGCTGTCTGTTCGGATGAATGCTCACTGTGTTCTACTTCTAGATACACTGGGCTTCTATCCAGACGCTTCTGACTGAGATGTTGACGCGAATGCTTCACCTGTCTCGATATAGGGATCCCGGTAGGTCTTGGCAGTTCATGACTGGAATCGGACCTCTCATCATCTCTTCCTCCACTGTGGAGCCTTCTTCCCACCGGCAACCGATGCAAACGACCCGGCCTTGTTGGTGATATAATACTTGATGGATGATTGGATCTTCTCAATGCTGTCCTCTGATCAGCAGAGTGGACAGTGGATGTGACCAAACCCTTTCCAATCTGATCTGTCTTCCATAACTGTCTGCGTGTATGGGAGGATTGTTTCTGAGGTGCTGGGACCGTGGCTCTCTCCCGATGGAGGTGGTTAGATCGTCTTGATCTTGGCTGAGAGTCTGGAATCTCCTCCACCCATTTATGGACATCTTCATGCCCACGAACCATGCTAAAATGTAATGAAGATGCTAATGAAGATGAGGTAGTCTTGTTCAGCTGATCTGATCAGTGTGGTATGGAAAGAATGATAAAAGCAAGCAGCTATCCCAGGAGAAAAGGCTTTTCCACCGGCCAGCGGTCACCAGACAGCCACTGGTCAATATCATGTTATTTCAATCTCAATCTTATTTATCCTTCATCACTTGAACCCCTGACGATCAACCCAATATAGGGTTGGAGTTGAAAGAAACTTCACTAACAGTCAACCTTGATGGCTTGGCAACAGCTATGATTTGCTCTCAAAGCAAAGACCAGACCGGCCTAATAGGATGATAGAGCCTCTGATTGGTTGAACCTCTCTTGATTCATAAAAAAAGAATGATATATCCAGCCACGGAGCACCTGCCGTTCGCCATTCAGCTTACCATTTTACAATAGACACAATAGAAATATATGAGGAACTGCCAGCATGCAACAATCTAAAATCCATCCACCATCTGCCTCTGTTAGTTCCAACGGAATTTCATCATGTCATTATGTCGTGGTCGTCCTCACATCTATGCCACAGATAGCTCAATTTGGGGAGCCCTGGGATGAACAGCTCCCCCCACTGCAGAGGCAGAAGATCTTCAGTGGGCTGGATGTCAGGGATGACTCCACCCCTCCAGAACCACCCACCGTGGACATCGCCTCGGAGGACGTCCCCGACGGGCCACTGATGCCATCCATGGATATCGACAGCGTGGGGGGGTTCGCCTCCAGCCTCGCTGTGGCCCGGGCGGGCATTCACTGGCTGGCAGCTAGGCCCCCTGTGTCCTCCCTCCAGGCAGGGCTGCATCTCTCCCCAATCCCCGTGACATGGGAGCCCTCGTCAGAGGCCTCATGCCCCCGGCGCAGCCAGAGACCGATCCACCAGATCCCACATCTTCCCCTGGGCCGGCTGGGTGGGTTCGAGGATCTAGAGCTCTACGCCCTGTTTCCCAAACTACATGACCCCGAGCGCCAGCACTTCATCATCCGCGAGGATGAGTACCGGCTGTGGACCGATCAGATTGTTCTTCCTGCCCTCCATGAGTGCTACTCTACCGCCCTGGTGGGCCACATCCCCTCCAGCACCGATCACATAAGGCTCAATGCCACCGCGCGATGGGTTGAGGGCCGTGTGAGTCACAGCAGCAGTGCACCTCGCGTCCAGCTTTTTCGGCACTTTCTCCCCCCAGAGGGTCTGGCCCCACTATGGCAGGCAATCCAGACGCGTATCCAACAACCTACACTGCTTCAGTTCCAGGGTGTAATGCTCTTCCTGACAGCCAAGAACCTGAAGCTGCAGACCCAGAGCCGCACCTGGATGGAGATGCACAAAAGGTTCCTCCACCGATGGGAGCTTGCAGTCGATCCCCAGTTTATTGAGGAGGAGTTCATCGACATTGGCAAGGAGATCTGCCCCCCTCAGAGCTACCTGGCCACACAGCAGGCAGACCAGATCCCCGGGACAGTGCTGTGGCGGCGGTGCTGCCTGCAGAGCTTTGCACGGTGGTGTGGGGACTGTCTGCCTGAATCCACCACAGCACCAGACCCCAGCGGCACTGGACATGAGAGCCAGAGAGACAACGGGGACACTGAAGAGGATTCTGGGGGTGATGTATACCATGAGCACACTGATCAGGTGGACCTCCCCACCAGCAGCTCTCCTCAGCCCCAGAAGGTCAAGAACCTCTCATGGCACCAGGAGTTCTACCC